GGGGGGGGCGGCGCCATCAAGCAAGTTCATAATTCTGAACCCTCTATAACTTCCCCCGTAATCCATCAGGGTGTTGGTTCCAGATGGCACCACGATCAGCCCTGAGTGACCTTAATCGGGGCTGACTGAGGTCATCCGTCCTGACATGACTGCTCGGTTTCCCAGAGGGAACTCAGTGTTGCAGATTAGCATGTAAACACCATGCAGTGTGACACATTTAGATCAGTACGCAGCCTGACTTCTGTTGGTCTGATTCAGTGGCAGTCACGCTGAACATGCAGTGTAGCTGTTTAAAGCTCATTGTGCTATTTATTATGTCCAAGTCAAAACACTAAAATTGTGTTTCATTCACAGCTCTTTGAAGTTCTTCACTTCCTGGCTGAGAATTTCATCTTCTCGTACATGGGCTTGGCTCTGTTCACCTTCCAGAAGCACATTTTCAGTCCCATCTTTATCATTGGAGCTTTTGTATCCTTTCACTATCATATTAGGAAAAACAATCCTAATAAACATGAATAAATAATATATAACTCTTCAGGGTTTGCCACGGCAGTCATCCGGCAGCTCACTGTGTTTCTGAGTTAAAGATGTTTAAAGTTGACAGGAAATTTGAAAATATGACTAAGTAGTACCACCTGCCTCAGCTGCAATTGATGTCAGTAGCCCATGATCTATGCAGCGAGTAGTAAAAAGTAGGTTTTACCATCATAAATAAGCGCAAATATTTCCAAATTAGTACCACAAACACTTTGATTTTTATTGCAAAAAGTATCACAAAAGCCTGGAGGAACTGAAAAGATGTTCAGTAATATTATTTAATTTTAAAAATTCATTGATGTTTTAACGGTTTCCGAACAGGTTTTATCAGTACATTCTGGTACAACCGGCCCTTTAGGAGCATTCGGGATCTTGATTTGGCCCAGAACAAGAATGAGCTTGACACCCCTGTTCTATGTGTTCACATACTGACCATACTGTGTCATCAAAGAGACTCTTTAATCTGTCTTTGCTATCACTGTTACTGTAGGCATAAAAGAACCTATAATAAAGCATGCTTAGCTTGGTGGTGCAAGTGAAGACTTGTGGCCCGCCAGGCTTGTAACACCATGGGGGAAACCCTGATTCCTGGAAACACTCCACAGTTTAATAGCATTGGACTTCTTAACCAACTTGTGTCAGGTAGCCATATTTATCGGCAGAGCTCTCAACATTTACCCGCTGTCCTTCCTGCTCAACCTCGGTCGAAGGGACAAGATCAGGGGAAACTTCCAGCACATGATGATGTTTGCAGGTGCAAAATAAAACCAAAAGGTCCAACTAATATTGCTAATCTCAACAGATTTAGTGTGCAACAGTTTTGGCATGGCAACTTTTGCAGGTTTACGCGGGGCGATGGCATTTGCCTTGGCTATCCGGGACACTGCCACCTCCGCCCGGCAGATGATGTTCACCACCACGCTGCTCATCGTCTTCTTCACAGTCTGGGTGTTCGGTGGGGGAACCACACCCATGCTCTCCTGGCTACATATCAGGTGAAAGAACCGCTCTGGAAATAACGAAACCTCATATAAAAAAAAAAATAAAAAAAAAAACATTTTGGGGAAAGCATCATATTCTGGACGGGTTATTTAAAAACATGTCCTGCAGATAAAAATGTTGCATATAGCATGTCCAGGATTTTACTGTAATTAATATTCTGTCAGGTATTGAAGAATTTCTGAAGAACAACTCTTTGATGCCGTTTTAAAACATCGTTACAGAATCCAGAAATGACTTAAGATAGAGGTATAGTTAAGGCAAACTTGATGGCGTGCAATTAAACATTTATTGTTGTTTGTTCACATAATTGTTACAGTTTTTCTGACAGAAATCGAATGATCAAAAATTGACATGATAGCTTCTTGTGCAGCTTTTTAGCTGTGCTAATGTAAGATTAGCCTAATGCACTAGCTTAGCATTAGCTACATAATGGCAATCAGTCCCTCTACTTCCTAGGCAATTTGTTTAGATTATATAACATTTAAATCTTGCTTTCATGTTTATTGTATCTAACTAAGAGGAAAATTGGGCAAGCCATTTGTGTATTTATTCACTATTGACTGACTTGTTAGCAGCTACAGTCCACTAGTTAAAATGTTTGCTCACACCAGTTCAGAAGAAGCTCTTAGGACTTGACATGATTCCTCTTGTCCGTGTACGAGAACGACTTGTACCTTTTGGATAAGGACCTACTCGTATTCATACTATTTACACCCCAGCTAATCAGCTGTGCTCTATTTAAAGTTTTATTTTATGGTTTGTGTTCTTGTTCTGACCCTTTGTTTACTTCATCTTTTGTGAGTTTGGGACCACCCTCTGAGCTTGGCCGGTTTTATTCCATGCCTGCACGCACAACCAATACGGCCACAGAGGTCCGGGCTGCATGCAGACGTCTGCCTAGTGTACAGATGATAACATTTAAGCAGACCTGGAGGTATACCTTGGGGTTTACTAACATCACCATGTTCGTGTCACACTTGCAGGACTAGCAGTAGTCTCCAGAAGTACTGTGCTAGTCTCACAAATGTCTCAACTATTAGGCTTTTCGAAGGACTTAACTGAAATATTTGACGACAGTCTTGTCCGACACAGTGACACCTTAAATATGGTAAACCAGTTCATATCGAAGGCTCTACTACATAATAAATGTTCACTGTTCATTACTAGTAAACCAGGACATTTTTTGGCACATTGGTTTACTAGTTAGCATGTTAAGCTACTTAAAGGAACTAAAACCATAAAAACCTCAACTAGTTTGCTTCAGCAAATCAACCAATGTGCATTTAGGCTCAAGTAGTGTGTGAATTTGAGTGTTACTTAAATACTGGACATAAATTTGCATTAACTAAACATGCTATCATTTCATGTCATTTAATTAATTAGCATGACGTGGCCTAATAGCATGGACATTTGTGCAACCGGTGCAGCTAGCTTAAGTGTTTCTGCATTGTTGTGACTGTCAACAGCAATGAATGCGTACACAGCAGGCTTTCCATGATCCCCTCAAACTTGGCATGAAAACATGTTTCAGTCGTAAACCAGGCTCCGTGTGTAATTCAATAAGTCATGGGCTGCCAGGAGAGGGGGCAAGAGTTCTCTGCTGCTCTCTGAGAAATACCCTAGGAGCTCTGTGGGGAGGAACAGATTTCTCCTCCAGTACAACTCTGACTACTTAAACCTGAGCCTGAGAAGAAAAAATGAATTTCATCGTCAGATTGCCAGGACCAAGCTAGCCTGCGCCAACTGTCTGTGTTCTGCGTTGTGCCACTGCTGTTGCTGTAATTTGATTTGGTTCTTTTTTTTTTTCTTTTTTTTTGTGATCTGGGTTGAGCACTGCTTCACTTCTATCCGTTGTCTGCCCATGATGCACTGAGAGCTTCGTATTTATGACGATAAAGCGGATTATCTCGTTCCCGGCAGCAGCGGCCTGAGTGAGCAGGCTCTGTTTAATATGAGTAATGCCTCCTCGGACCGGACTGGAGCCATTGTTCGGCAGGGGCTTTAGAGCACTGCCAAACGGACCCCCCGCCCCTCCTGTGAACTCAGCCAGTGGACACTGGGACATGTGCTGCACTGCATGCAAATATCAGCTGCGTGGTTTCAGTGTAATCTTAAATAACTGGACAGTAAGAGTAACAGCAGCCTGTTACTCAGCTCCATCTTCTCTTCTGTAACTTGTTGCGGCAGGGCATCCAGTGAAGCTGTTAAGATCACCAGGCTCTTGGGTGACGGCTGAAATGCGATGTGGGCCTGCTGCTGTGTTGCGTGTAAAGAAATGCTGCTGGTGTTTTGGCTTCAGATGAGGGCCTGTAAGCAGGCGAGCGTGCTGCTTACCTCGATGTTTGGCAGGGGAGGACATCAAGAGCAAAACGAGATCCTTGTTGCTTACCGCGGTTCAGGAAAGGTTCTGCTAATCCGATTGAGTTTTTTATTTCCAGGGTAATCCTATTGATAGTTCACGCAACATCTTTTTTTGGCTGTGATGGAGTTTTTCCTTTGACTTTACCCTCAGCTTAACGATTTCTGTCAATCATATGAGGGTAGAGAAATGATAGTTTAGTTCACTTCTTATCTACTGTGCTTTATATTTGCAGCTGTCTTCACAGTTAATGCCCCTCGCTTGTAAAGACGCGTGCAAAATTCTTTAAGTAAGTAGCTACTGTACGGACTTTGTGAGGCCAAGATGGAAATCTTAGTCGCAGTTCTCCAACAGTGAGCTCTGAGGATTTAAAGCCTCCATCTGTTTAAAATGTTTGTGATTCTTCTGACTGTAGATGCTGGTAATTTTAGACCTGTAGTGATTTTTTTTTCACATACCTTCTGACTTATGATGAGAACAAGGCAGATGGACAGAAGGAAATGAGCTTCCATATAGATTCCTGGTTATTGCATCCCTACAGAAGGAAGCTCATCTTTTAGATGATCTTTTATAGATATAGAGGTTTCAGTGTCATTCCCAGTATAACTCACTCACTCTGAATCATCGTCAAACTGGTTTACTTTGACATTACTTTAAAGTTCATGCAAACATTAATGGATGATGAACTCAAAGGTGCCAGAATATTGTTTTATCTTTTTATGTGCAGTTGCCATTAGTTCATTTGCTATATAAGCTGTTTTATATATTTAACTTCTTCTCTCCCCAGTTGTAGCTCGCCTTGGCTCTTTGTTTCCATAGATACAAACCACATTCCCATCTTTGTTAATAATAGTAGCTTAACAAATACTATCAGAATCATTTGCATTGTGACTATCTTCAGCAGATTTCTGTGGATGCTTTGAGAATCTGATGTATTAAGAATTATTTACATATGTTATAGTGAATATGCTCCTCGAGTTTTTCACAGACTTCTCAGTGAAAGCAAATGCAATGCCAGAATGTGATAAATGTAACTAAAACGCCATTTCAATGTAACATAGTCAAACCAAAAAGTCAGTTTGTTCAAATTTGACCCAAATTAAATTGTATTTTCTGGCTTTTACAGAAATGAGACTTCGTCTTAGTGTAAAAGCGGTAAACTGAGACGTCATATTCCCAAATGGCCAAACTCCCAGTTGTGAAGGAGTGGAACTTGTTCCAGTATAAGCACTGGTTTCTCCTCATTCATCGGCTGAAGAGCTGTGGTGATGTCATCCGGCTGTATTTTTTTATGTGTACATGTGAACATCTGCAAAGACTCGGTGCCAAGCGCAACAAAAAAGAGGATTATGTTTAGCCCATACCGTTGCCACTACATTTTATTTATTTTTTTACTTTTTTCTGGGTTTTTTTATATGCTGTGTTGTCACTTTTTACTCAGCTTCTCAGTAAAATGCCACTGGCTTTGACTTGTTTTGTCACATTTTACAACCGCAAAGTTCTGAGTTTCTTACGTGACCAACTTCTGCAAAGCAGAGCAGAGCGTAATGAGGAAGCGGAAGAAAAATAATAAATGCTTTTCAAATGATTTCCTATAAGAACCTAAAAAAAAAAAAAAAGCACACTGCATGATTCTGCTACCATTGTGTATTATGGCAGGGTCCAGGCTATGACCTCCAGGATGGGATAGAGTCCAGTAATATTACTTTAATATCATTCACAGTCCAGCATTTTGTTTCCTCACTTCAATTTTTCTTTCTTTTAATTATTATTTTCCGATTTTCCCCTCCAAACAACTGAAGCTTGTGAACGAAAGTCTAAAATGCTGCATGTGACTTACTTCATCATCTTCCTTTCCTATGCAGGTGAAAAAAAAACGTTTTTGTATCCAGAAATGTCACATAAATAAAAAACAAAACCGTATTCTCTGAGGTTTATGATCTATTTTAATTCCCTGTTTCTATCCAGTGTTTGTTACTCCATCAGGTAAACGTCTCGCATCTCCACTTGGTTTTAAATGTTCTCAAACCCTGTGTTTATGAAAGCTATAGATATTGGAACTGCAAAAGATTTCAGGACGAGCGCCGCCGCCATGGAAATTGGGAATACTCCAGGTGCCGTATACGAACGCAAATCGGTTTGTTTGTGCTAATTGGTGTTGGGGGAGGAAAATCTCCTGGTGTGTTCTGGTGAAGGGGGATAAAAGTGGGCATCTTCAAAAATTGTCTATTTAAAAAATAAAACAATCTGTTTAGGAAAAGGGTTTGAAAGCACCTGAGCGTGGAGCTGAGTGTGGCTCAGGTCGAGGCTCTGCCGCCGTAAAATGCTCCAGTCAAGGCTGCTCTTTGTGTTGTGAAAAAAAATCTGTTCCTCTTTCTTTTTCCTTTATTTTCTGTTAACTAATCACTTTTTCTTTTTCTTTTTTCTCCTTCCCCCGCCACACAGCATCATAAAAACCAATCCGCTCTACTTGGAAACGTCTATGTAGGGTAACATGTAGGGAAAAAAAAACAAAACTGAACTGTGACTGCTCCGTCTTTTTTTCTTCTTCTTCTTCCTCCTCACTCTTTTCAGGATTTGCTTGTGAACAGAAACAAAATTGCTTGCAAGGAATATTTGACGGATTAGAAGGAGAGGAGTGGGTTGTTCGGGATTAGGATTACAGGGTGTAATGAAGTGGTTAGAGGATTCCCTCGCAGCCTGGTCACGTAGAGCCGTTTGTTTGTCTTTATACTGGGAGATGTCAGCCAGACTCCATGTGCTCCTGGTGTTTTTTATTTTTATTTCAGGAGGGGAGCATTTACTGTGTCAAGTTTGTTCCTCCCAGATACTTCTCCGCTGCACTTCCCTGCATCATTTGCATCACTATGCTGTTTGCATGCCCCCTGGCGTCCTTGCAGCTTCCTCCCTCCCCCGATCCTCTCTGGCGTGTGTGTGTGTGTGTGTTTAGTTGAGACGAGGGTCTTAAAAGACAGCCGGATGCTTTGGCCTCTTCTTTTGAAACTGCTAAGGTACAGAGAGGGAGAACCTCGTACCCATAAAGCCAATTTCCTCCCTGTGACAGTCATGGAGGGGTTTTAAAGATAACCACACACACCAGTCGGACGTTCCGCTGTGCAGGCAGGGTCTTGTAGGATTTAAAGCATATCCATGACAGGCTACGTGTCTCTCCCTTGGCACCCATCCAAGATGGATTGGAGTGAGCTGAACCAAAATAAAAGCGCCCTCTTGAGAATCGGCCTGCTGAGGTTGAACACTTTTCAGCTGTCGAGAGACTTCGTTGTAGAAATAAACCACAAGCGGCGAGAAAGACCAGAAATGACCTCACGTTATGTAAATAAATCCTTTCTGTTTGACTTTTTGGAAGTCACTTTGTCTTGCAGAGAGTTATGCAGCAGATGTATGTACAGCAACATTATCTGCTGGTTGGCTCAATGGAAAGAAATGGCTAGGAAGAAAAAGTGTAGTTAGCAGCGTGACTGTAAGGGCGTCTCCATGAATTAGAAAGCGTCTAAAAGTTGAAAAACTCTTGCACTGCGTATATGAATTAGACGCAGTGATATGTTTAGCATTTGTTTCATGGCTAATGAAAACATAAAAAAAAAAACAGAACATTACATAAGCAGACCAATTAAAACTTGTTTTAAAATTACTGATAGTGACCTGGTCTACACAATCGCACGAATCACACTGCTGATGGTGAACAGTCGTTGATTTTGAGCCTTTGGTCACAATGAAATAAATTTGGAAACTTAAGTGGAAGGGAAAAAAATAGGTAGAAATAGATGCACAAACAACTGACCAGCCTTACAAAGACCAAACCAAACTGAATTCAAGCATTTTTTAGGATAATCAAAAGGTCTGGACTGAGGGTGGAGATGTGCTGCGTTCCAGTTACGTTGCACGTGGGTTTTGACGTTACATCCAGATTAACAGCTAATGAAAATCATGAAAATAAATTTGTCTAAGGGAAACGCGGCAATTAAAAAAAAAAGGTAAAATTTTTCTATAAAAAGGCTTTGCGCTTTTTTTTATTTCTATTTATTTCTTGGCTGTATAAAAATTAGTTTATTTCGCAAAACTGCCATGGAAACACTTTTTTCGTATCACAGGAGTGACGGGTATCAACAGCTGCACATTACTACTGGAGGAAAACTCGAACAAGATCACAGGAAGTAGTAGGACTTTAATTTGTCCTTTTTTGGATTTTGCAGGCGCTACTCGTTATATTGATTTTATTTGTTTATTTAATTTTTTAGATTAAAAAATTAAATAAAGTTTGTAAAAGTTTTGCAAGTTTTGTAAAATAAACATGTTTTCATCACAGCCTGCTGTGATATGGGCCGGGCATATTGAAACTCAAAGTCTGAGCCAAGAAGTCGTTCCAGTTAATTCCCCCCCCCTGACTGGGAAATCGAAACTGGCCAGAAAGTCGGTCTGACTTAAACCTATGGAGCGTTATAGCATTTAATAGCTTTGGTTTATTAACCATCGTTAATAAACTCAATTGTTCATGTACAATTGAGATGCATTTGCCTGCACTGATTGAAATGCTTCAATTTGGGAGCAGAAATCTGTTTTGGCTTTAATACTTCAAACTGTGGAAAACCATTATTCATTAAGCTGTTTGGTTGCGCTTGAAACTCACCCTTCTCTCCTTAGGTCAGGGGTGAACGGGAGATTTTCTGCACAAGTTAAAATGTGACTTGGTTCTGAGGTTAATAATTTATGTTTTCATAGGGAAAAAAAACGCTAACAGGACAGAACACCCTCCACGTCTGCGTCACACTTACCCCATGTCTCTAACTTGCTTTGTGTTAAATCCTGATGCTGGTCGGTGTCTTGGGGAACAAGGTTTAGCAGTTCAGCACTTTCGTGTGCTGGGATATGATTACGTCTTGTAACTGTTGCTAAGCAATAAGTTAAACCATGCTGTTGTTTTGTCTCCCGTGTTGCAGGGTCGGTGTGGATCCAGATCAAGACCTGCAGCCCTCTGGCGACAGCTTCCAAGTCCTCCAGGGGGTGAGGAGCTCACTCACATCCACTTTGGATCTTTGCCTCGTTCCAAACACGTTCTGCTGGGGGTTTTTTAGTTGTTGTTTTCTTGTAGTTCATGCGGGTTCAAAGTCAGGAAGTCTATACAAAAGTAGAATAGGGAAGCTGTGTGCTGTCAGATGTTAGTTTAGGACCGCTAGATCGACTCTTGTCTAACCTGTTGGTGACTCATGGTGACCTGTAAAACAGGATGTGTTTTCTGTTGTTATACTCTGCTACTGTGGCCCTATATCCTAATCTTAAACAAAACATCTTCCCAGCTACAGTCAGAGCAAATCTGGTTCACATGCCAGCAGCTTTAAAGTTTTGTTTTTGATTGAAAAATACATGGATGAGGCATGACATTATGAGCACTGATGGGTATCATGAATGACACCGATTTTGTCTTTGCTGTGGCATCTGTTTGTGGCGCAAACCGTAAGTAAACATAAGTAAAAATGGTAAAAAAAATAAAGAGGTAAACTCTTCCAGGGATGTGCACAGATAGACACTACGACATCCTACAGCATCTGCACTTTTCTTCTGGACAAAAAAAAAAAGAAAGTGTCCTTCTGAAATCTTTGTTGTTTTTCAGCATTCATAGCGCATGGCCCAAGGTAGCATGTCTGGATTTAGCCTATGCTGTCATAGCTCCAATTCTGTCCAACAAAATTTTGTCACCAATTTTCAAGTCTTTTAGCTGAGTTCATTAATCATAAGTTTCTAAAAATAATTTCTGTCCTATATCTCTCTGCGGGTCGGATCCACAGGTTAAAAAGTCAGAAAACATTAAACTGATTTGCATTAGACTCCTTATCAGTCACTGTAGTAGGAAAAACAAATGATTGGTGCTGTTGTCTGATTGCATTCACTGTGAAAAAAGCAAAATGTCATCTTTTTTTTTTTTTTTCCAATCATGTGCTTCTCTAGGATGGGAACCAGGATGAGGGCCAGAGTAAAACCAAACAGGAGAGTGCCTGGCTCTTCAGACTCTGGTATACATTTGATCACAAGTATCCTTTTTATAGTGTGTGTGTATAAATCCCGTGTGATTCAGTCACAAGGTAAATATCTCAGATAATCCATCAGGATGACTGCCTGGTCCACATTTGCTATGCAAACTAGTTCCTCCTGGATTAGATAATTTGACATGATTGTGAAAAATGTTTTGCTTTTCCCTCCCGGCGGGCCGCAACAACAGACTCAAGGTAATGCGTTTAGCGACTCATCTCCCCATTTCTCAGGATCTTTCCATCCCTGCTAAACAATTGTCTCCCCCAGGTGGCTGATTGTGTTTCTGTCTCTTTAAATGAGGCAGCTGCGTTTTCCAGAAGGGGAAAATCCCCCCCCCCCCCCCCCCCCCCCCCCC